TATATCGCCAACCCATGTTTACCTCCGTTAATTAATTAATGAAGATTGAGAGCAAGAAAAGATCTTGAAGATGAATGAATGACAGGGAAGACCTGATTGGGGTAATTTTTTTTGTTTTTTTAAAGATCTGATTTGATCTTTATAAAGTTGCGAATTCTAGGAGGATTAGGATTTCGGTATCTCACCTTTAGGAAGCACAAAAATTTGAGTAAATGCCCTCTATATATGTAAAAAAAAAAATTCCCAATCTCAAATTCATAATCAATATTATGCTCATAATGTTCAGTTCAAATATTCAATAATCAATTCTCAATTTTCAACATTCATTATTTAGTCATTCAATATCTATATTCATCATTCATACTCAACATTTGTCATTCAATAATATCTTTAGTCTAAGGCCAATCTCTTTCGTATTTATCAATCCTTAAACGAATTCTAACGCTACTCTCAAACATGTCCGATATGATTATACTTTGTATTATTCTTTATCAAATGAGTAGTTAAAATAAATAAAAGAATATTAAATTTGACCGCTTAAATTGTACATAAATAACTAAATTGTTTACAGGAGTAAAAAATATATTTATGAGTAGGGAGGGTTGTAAAACAAACAAATAATTTTGCTTCGATTCGTGATTCGTATTCAAAAAATGAATATGAATACGAATATAAATATTGGAATAAACGAATACAAATGTTTATATATTCTATTCTATACGCTAACGAACATATTCGAAGTTAACTAGGTCTTCGTTGTTATTATTGGAATATTGAATTTACTCAAGATAATACTGAAAGGTACAATACAATATATATAGGAGAAATCCTACCATAAAAAGGAGTAGGAGAATAGGAGAGAATAAACTCCTACTATGAATAAACTACTACCATAAATATAGATACTATATAATTATTTCCTAACAGTTATTTTGGACATGTCTCTTTTAGTACAAATACTCCCGTCGTTGACTAAAATATTCTCTCTTTGATTTTTTTGGGAAATTTGCTTCAATAGCAGTAAAACATAATAATTTTCTTTAAATAGCATCACATATATTTTTCTTTTGATGTAGTACTTTTAGTCATTATGCATTAGTCATTATTCAAGTAAATATGTGTCATCACTGGACATTATTAAGTGTTATTTAAAAAATAAAATAATTTAAGTTCTATTTAGGAAAATGACTTAAGTTTTAGTACTATTTAGTGTAAATATTTATTTTTCTTTTTTTCACCATAAACTTCCACTTTTTATTAAAAATCACTTTTACCAATATCTTCCATACCTCTTATATTATACTTCTTCACTAATAATTTACCTATCATATTTTATTTTTACATATCACATCAAAGAGAAAATTAGAAATTCAATTACAAATATACTCTTTATTTCTTCCACTAATCAAAATAGGAACCTTTTTAACGAATGGATGGTGTAAATAGTTAATTTGTGGGGCAATATTTTTTGAAGCTATAAAACGTAAAAAAAACTCAAAATTTATATTTTATAATAAAATACAAATACAAACCGAATACTTAAATTTAACATCAAATCGAATATGGATACTAACAATTATTCGAATTAAAAACGAATATGAATATGAATAATGGTAAAATTTTTCAAATGCAAATTCATAGTATTTGATTGATCAATTTGTTCAATTTACAATCCTATTTAGGAGTACATCTTTTAAAATAAATCGCAAATTCGTGCACTCAGCCACTCACACGAGAATGGCAAGCTCGCTTTTTTTTTATATAAAAAAATTATGTGAGGGTCCAATGTAGACCACTCTTAGGGGCTGTTTGTTTCAGCATCTTAATGGTTCAGATGTCTGAATGCTTCAACACTTAATGGTTCAGACTGTTTGTTTCAGCCTCTTAATGGTTCAGAAGTATGGATGGTTAAGAGCTTTGCCTCTAAATGGTTAAGTATTATACAGATTCTGATTGATTAATACCTCTTATCTGAATTGATCAGATATTTGCCTCTGAATAGTTAAGCAATATACTAGCTCTTAATGGTTCAGACCTCTTACTAGTTCAGCACTTAATGATTCAGACCTCTTACTGATTCAGCACTTACCCATTCAGAAGTTGCCAAACAGCCCCTTATTGTCTTTAATTTGTGGTCCCAAAGGTTATTCTAAAATTTTTCACATTTTCATAAGCTTCCATGTAAAACTAATTTATTTAAAGATCTACGAGTATTTTTTGTACTATAAATGCACAAAAGTCCATAGAATAAAATAAACATGGACCTTAAATCCAAATAAGAATTCGCCTAATTTTCAACTTCTTTTATCTTTATTTTTTGTGTTTAGGGTAATTTACCTAAATAAGACTAAAAAATAATGACTTTTTTCATATAAAATTTTATATTTTCATTTCCCAATGTATAGTCATTGATCATTATATATTCGTCATTATTTAAATAAATGTCTACCCTCTGAACATTATTCCTCCACTAGACATTAATAAGTCCTATTTAGAGAATAAAAAAATTTAAATCTTACATTAAGAAATGACTTATGTTTTAGTCATATTTAGTGCAAATTTTTCAATAAAAAATGCAAACACACGCACACACCTTGCTCATTGAGCAACACTCTCAAAGAAAACCAACATTTAGCAGATGATTGTTGCTTCATAGCAGCAAGCAAAAGAAAAAGATAATTATTCTTGATGATGTCTTAATAACTTTGCAAATAAAAGCTTGATGATCATCTTCTCTCTCATAGCAAAACCCTTCCTCTTTTGTTTTTTTGCTTTTCACAAAACATTTCCACTTTCTATTAAAAAATCACTTTTACCCCTACTTTTTCATACCCTACCTATCAAATCATACTTTTTCATTAATAACCAAACTATCACATCTTACTTTTTCCTATCACATTAGGATCAAAATTAGAAAGTCAACCAAAATTACACTTTCCTTATTTTCCTCCAAAGTCAAAACCGGAAAGATTTTGTGGAACCGAGGGAGTACAATTTATCATGACACAAGGCAAGAACCTAGAGACAAACAGTGCTCTTGGCATTTTCTAAGCCATAAGCCTAGAACAATCTTCATGAAATATAAAAGACATATGCAATATTAGCTACCTCATGATGTTAATTAGCTTCAGTGCTACTCTACCATCTCTACAAGACAAAGGCACACATGAACAGAAAAACCTGATGCACCACAGTAGACATGTTTGGAACACAACCTGGCTTTGATGCATTATATGCGTACAGCAAAACCTTATGCACCACAGTAGACTTTGATACATTCATGATGGCCGATGTGTGGGTAAAGTTTGTTAATGTGCCACTACAATGTTGGAACAAGATTGCGTTTGATTGCTTGGGGTCCAGGGTGGGAACCCCCTTGCGAAGAGACCAAGGAACCAAAGCTAGGGGAAGGGTGAGTTTTTGTAGAATGTTGATTAGGATCGACATGTCGAAGGAACTTCCTTTGTCCTTTGAAGTTAATCTACCTGACGGTGACAAGTACACCCAAAGGGTTGTGTATGAGGGCCTCCCAAAGTACTGCTACCGTTGCAAAAACTTTGGACACAACCTTTTAAATTGTAGAGTCCTCCGGGCTTTACATCACAGGAAACTGGGTGACTTCACTGCCAAAATTTCGGAGCACTTTAGAGCGGAGAAACTGCCCAGTAAAGGTGGAAAAACCACTGCCAATACCCCTTCCAGTAAGGGTCCAAGCAGTGGGGAAACTTCCATACGGGCAAGGCAAAGACAGGTGAGGTGTAAACCAGTAAATGGAGATGGCAGTGAGGCCCCTGGCAGTGTCTCTGCCCTGCCCAAACCAGTGGTTAAAACCCCTCCTTTGAAACCGTTGGAAGGTGTTGATGTGGTGCAATCGGTTGATGAGGGGACGAGTCACTTGAAACCTACCAAGACTGTCCCGGAAACCAAACAAAAACAGAAGAAGGCTACCAAGACCATTGATAACCCGAGTGATGGCAACAAAGGGCTGGACAGTGGGTCTGGCGCACCAAAACCAGTGTCTAAACCAGCGCCTAAGCCTCCTAATTTGGGACAGGTTGATGGCCTTGATGGGGCTGACTTGCGTGGTGAAAAGGCTGGCCAAAGGGTACCCCCAGCAGCTGTGACAAAGCCAGTTGAAGCCACGACAAACAAGAAGAATAAAACTGCCAACCATGAAAGAAGTGGATGGGAAAGCTGCTTTGCTCCTTGGTAACCCCCCTGCCTACACGCCATGTGATCAAGCTGAGAACATCACGGCTGGTCCTAAGGACAGGGCAGTGCATGAAGACCAAGCGACGTCCAAGCCGGAGGCCAATGAAGCAAAGGGAAACATGAAGAGAGCAAAGCACAAGAAACCTTCAGAACCGGATGGGGTGGTTGAAACCCACAATGAAACTACGTCTTCCTACTCCTCGGGGGAGGCTAAATCTGCGTGGAGAGTAGCCCAAGACAAGCAAAAGGAAGAGTGGATTGATCGCCTACTCAAGGCAGCCCTGCTTCGAGTGGATAGAAATGACGCCAAACGTCCAAACTCCAAAGCTTGCACCGGATTTGCTTAGAAAGAAAATTGAAAAAAACCCCCAAGTACTCTACTTGATGCCTATGGCGAAGTATTGAGTAGCAAGGAGTATATGAAGGTGGTTAATGCTATGCGTGCATCTAAGCAAACATAGTTTAGATTTATGTATTTTTCCACCTTGATTGTTTGGCATGACTTGCTTTTGATTTTATAGGGGTATGCCCCGGTGCATTGTATGTTTATTCCGTGAATGTACTTTGTAATGACTCTTGGATATTAATAATTTACATTTTATCCTTGGAACACATCCTACCCGAACACCTCTCTCTTCCCACGTCTTTGCAACAACCATATATAGCTAGGTCCATCAATATATAGCTGGCCATGACCATATTGTCAATGTTGGAGTATGAATCTACCATATATCTTACTATGAGGTGTGAAGTCTATAATGAATGCATTGAAGGCAATATACCCACATATACACCCTTCTCCTTTATGCTGAAACAAATCCAATCATATTCATAACAGTGTTTTCGTGAACCTAACAGGAAAAAAATATCATTACCATCAAACAAATAAGTACTATGATATATAGAAGAAACCTACTTCATCATCAACTAACAAGAATTATAGATGCACACCTTCACCAAGCATATGTACTAGACTAGAAGAGAAGGCAGAAAGTAGTACAGCCCCGCCCTCTTTACCTTTATGGACATCAGGTATCTCACGTCCCTGTGCGTCCAAAAATAAAGGGACTTCGTAAGCAGCAGAAGGTAGTGATGAGAAAATATGCCTTTGAAAAAACACAATTAACATAGGGATATCCAATTCAAGTTGATAATCATAACCAAATGATCTTTCCAGACCCTATTTATGTGGGACTCTACAGGGCTGCTGTTGTTGTTGTTTAACCAGATGATCTCTATTCTCTAACTACTTCAGAAAAGTAACTGGATGCAGAATCACTCTGAACCTGAGAAAGCTGTGATCTTGAGTTCTTTCGCGCTACTTGCTGATGCGTATATTGTTTGCAATGGTGTTCTTCACATGTTTCGTCATATTTCCAGATCAAGAAGTTGTGTTCTCAAGAATCTAACAAAGCATCATATGAAACTAACAGTATTTACAATTTCGCAGGACGCAGGCTACCATTCCAACTGCAATATTCTGTGTGAGAACATTTTCAGGTGAAAACACCATCAATTTGATAATCTAGCATTATAATCTTGTAGGAAATTTTCAAATTGCTCTCTATGAGCCTGGGATGAAAAACAAAAAAGAACATGATGAGAGATATTATACACACACACACACACACACATATAAAGTGATGCGTACATCAACATTGAACACCACAATTTCTCCCGCACAGATACAATGGTTACTCCTATGCAATAACAAAATGTCACCCCTGCCATTACCTGTAGTTTAGTAAGAGAAAGCTCCGGGAGAAGGTACAAGAGGAAGAGCCATGTCCGAAAAATTAATCAATTTCATGAATTTTTCCATTCTTATTTGATGATTCCACTAAATGTTTAGTTTTTCCATATGAGTCGAATCACCCAAGCAAGGCAATTCATTTATTTCTGAATGAAATAAATAATCATGAAGAATTGTTTGTGGTGAAGAATGGGAACTCAAAATTCCAGTGTGGCATTCTTGTAAAATTAAAATTGTAAATTTGGCATGTACTATGGTAGCTGTAATTAACAACATAAAATAAGACTATCTAAAGCATGACTGCTTCTTTTTGAAGTCTGATGTTTTACACACACAAAAAACCTACAACAACAACAACATAAGTTTATAAACCCCACCTCTATATCATCCATACCTTGGCCTTTTTTCTATTGCTTTGAAGACGATGGAAGAATTCGTGGCTTTGAAGATGATGGAGGACATCAATGGCATCATTTCTTCCTTCTTCAAGTACAAGTTCAACTCGAAAGTCTAAAAGGTCGGAAGTTTTCTACCTGATTTTATTTCATTTATTTTTTTTAAACAATGCACCCATTTTATTCCCACAATCATACAAAGCATCATACTTAACCTTTTTCATAACCTACTACGAGCTAGTATGTAGGTTTCTTCATTCTACGGCCAATGTAACAATTTATATTGAACCATACATAAGCAATACTCTCTTCCTCTTCATGTATTTGATTTCATTTAATTCGTTTGAAAAGCCCAACACTTTAAGTAGGGCTATTATATTATGATGATTTGTGCAGATTACGATCAAAAGGGTGGGGAGTCCAATTGATATGCCCAATTCAAGATTGATGGCTCAAACATCCACCAAGAAGTCGAAAGAGTGTTGTGTTTGTCTCCAACATCACAGATTTTGATGTTTGCAGTCTGTTGCTTCATTATTCTTTCTAGACTAATTCTAGGTATTCATCTTTCTACTTACAGACCTACACATTGCAGACTTATAATTGCACAGAAAATAATTATGACCTCATCACTTTATTCAGCATACAGACTTCCTTAAAAAGTCCCAATAGTTAACAAACAGTGCTAAGAAAAGCATAATCCATATCATCAGATTCTTACTAACTTCTACACATGTTGTCAAGCTCCATTTATATCATTGCATTGACAAAATGGTGAAAAAAATAGTACTCAAACAAATCTGGAAAGGATAAAGGACAAAAGAAGTTCAGAAAGAAACGAGTAGCCCGTACTTGAAAATTCAGTCATGCAACGGAGTGATCGATGATAAGAGATCCCTATTGTCTTTATTGAATGATATCTATTCTAGGCAAGATACCCAAATTTATATGAAAATAAAAAAAATTAATCCTAATCACGTCGGTTCAAGAAAAGCAAAAAATAACTGAAAAGGAAACCAAAGCTTATATATAATCAGCTCACTTATTTAACTAAACTAAATAACAATTATGGATAAACAATACTCCGTGAACACTAGCAAATATATACGGAGCAAATACTACTATTTGACAAATAAAGAAATATCAAATACCATGATGTTTCATCCATAAGATTACTTTTGAAAGAAGACTGAATGAGTCATCATGCTTGGGCAAGTTCGGGAGGCACAAGACAATTCCTTTGAATGAGCATTTGCTTCAAATCACAGAACACATCCGTGTCATCCAGTGTCAAAAATGTTGTTGAAATACCGCCACCCTCCCCAACAGCACGGCCAATACGATTAGCATGTGTGTCAATGTCCCCGGGCATGTCGTAGTTTATCACGTGTGCAACATGAGGAACATCTATTCCATATGCTGCAACATCTGTAGCAACCAAGACATTGTGTTCATTGTTCTTCAAGCCATCCAGGATGATTCTTCTTTGCTCCCCATCCATTCCCCAATGTAGTAACGCAACGCGATAGCCATCCTTACCCAAGAATTTAGCAATAGTACACGCATCGCTCTTAGTGTTTGTGAACACAATTGCAGTCTTATTATCTTCAAGCTCGTCCAGTAAAATCCGTAACCTACTGGATTTCTCAGAGGGTTTCATCATGATCACATGTTGTGTGATGGGGGGTTCATTGGCCTCCTCCTCTGTGCCTATCCTAACAACAATCGGATTTCTCAAGTATTTTCTCGCTAGCCTCTCCACTGCCCATGGCATGGTGGCACTGAAGACTTGTGTAGTGCGATAAACCTGTTTCCCATTGACTTCTTCTTCATCTTCACCATCTAAATTCTCGGGTTTCATGTTATTGTTATTCCGCAGGCGGGGCATGGAATCTAGGATATCTGTGACCTGATCTTTAAAACCCATATCAATCATACGGTCTGCTTTGTCAAGAACAACATAGTTACACTGGTTTAAGACGAGATAACGCCTTTGCAAACAATCTAGAAGACGGCATGGAGAGGCTATCACAACCTGGAAGTGCCCTTGACGAAGTCTGGAACCTTGTTCATCAATTGGCTGCCCAGCAAGTATGGAGAAAATCTTGATTCCGAGATAAGGGGAAAATTTAACAGTCTCCTCCTCAATCTGGAGAACATGGGCTCGAGTAGGGGCCAACACAAGAGCATAAGGAGAACAAGGTCCCTGATCATCATCATCATCGATGCTCTTCTCTGATTCAACCATCAGATTATAAACATGCATCAGCATGGGAAGGACGAAAGCGGCAGTCTTACCAGAGCCGGTGGGAGCAATACCGATGAGATCGCGATGTTCCAGACCAACAGGAACAGCAGCCATCTGTATTGGGGAGGGTTTCTCGTAGCCCGCTCGCTGGACTCCATTAAGAAGCTCGGCGCTGAGTTTACTCTCAGACCAATTCCTCATGGGCGGAGGAACTCTGGCACCTTTGTAATTGATGTTGAATTCTGCACAGAAGATTCTCCAGTCCCCTTCGCTCATCTCATCTAGGGTTTTCTCAGACCAGTGACGAAACGAATACATATTTACCTCCGTTAATTAATTAATGGAGATTGAGAGCAAGAAAAGAGCTTGAAGATGAATGAATGACAGGGTCACAGGGATGACCTGATTTTATTTTAGTACCCGAGTATTTTGTAAGATCTGATTTGATCTCTATGCAGTTGCGAATTCTAGGATGATTAGGATTTAGGTATCTCGCCTTTCAAAAATTTTTATTCTGATTTTTTTATGGGTTAGCTACACTTACACCACAAATTCTACCTCATTTGTACACTGCAGTTATACAAAAATATTTTGATGGTTTACACCGACACAAGTATTAGTGCGTTAATAAAAATTTACACGAACACAAAATGTTGATGCATTAATAAAAATTAGTTTTACACCAACACAAAGTGTTGGTGCAAAGCTACAGGTAGGGGTGTAAACGGATATTAATCGGATCGGATGTGCCATTACCAAATCCGCATCCGATTATTTTTGTCGGATATCGAATTCGGATACGGATCTTGACGGATACTGAAAATCAAAATCGTATCCGCATCCGTCGGATATCGGTCGGATATCGGATATATCCGTATCCGTTTCCAATTCTTAAAATCAAATTAAAAAATACTTTATTTTTAAATAAGATTAAAGTCAAACTATTATTAAATCAACTATAATTTGTTATGAGATAATTATTTTCTTTGTTTTCATGATTTCTGATATTTTACAATAACTTTATATGATAAAAAGATATACACAACACATATATACACATATTTTTATATGTCTGTATATATTTTTATGTGTACACATTTATTTTGTATTTAAAAATGTCTTATATTTTGAAATATCAATAGAAAAACAAAATATAAACATAAAAAATTAGGAAAAACTATATATAACAGATCGGATATTCGGATAAACGGTTATTTAAACGGATGCATATGCGGATCGGATTTTAAACCGATCGGATATACAATTACCAAATCCGTATCCGTTTAGTAATCGGATATCCTTAATCAGATACGGATAATATCCGTTCAAAACGGATGCGGATATTTTCTCTTTAAACGGATACGGATGCGGACGGTAATCGGATTTTCGACTATCCGTTTACAGCCCTAGCTACAGGGTATAAAGTAGGGTACAAAACATGGGGTACAAGTAACTTTACTTTTTTATTGGTAATACAAGAGATTCGAACCTTTCAAAAAAAAGAGATTCGAAAATATTTTTTTGGAAAATAACGTGAAAATCTTTTATGTTTGATTTAGAAAGATAATATTTGAATCATGCGATCATTTGATCATTGTGTTTTCAATCTCTGTATTCTCTTCCAGCTCTTCCACTCCTGCAACATTTGATCAAAATTTGCTCCACCGAAACTCTATATGTCGTGCTCCAAGAAAGAAAGCAACGAGTATCATGCAAAGAAGATGACCACACAACCTATAGTGGAAGCCCAAAGGCCACTAAAGACACTCTTTACTTTAAAAATTTGATAATAAATGATTTACTTTTCTCTCCAATTATTTAGTGACCAAAGTGTATGAATGATTGGTTGAAACGACTAAGATACGTGATTGAGATGTTATTCAATTCCGTATTATGTAATGTATTCACATTATGTTCTCTTATATAGGTTTTGACGATCAAGACGAAAATAAATATAAAGGAATTTCTACATATAAAGCTGACTGTAAAGTATTCACTACT